GATTCAGGCTGCCTGGGTTAAAAACTTCTGGTTAGTAGCTTCTTAACTGGGTGGCATCAGGGGTCCTCCCACCCCTTCCTCCTGTGTTAGCTACAATTCAGCTGATGCCTGACCCATAGGGACCCCACGATCCATGGGATCAGACCACTGAAGTCCATGGGGGTTTCATGGGCTAGTTTCCAGCAGTGGATTGCCAGGACTCTCTTCCTAGTCTGTCTTAATCTGGGAACTGCTGGAACCTGGTCAGCATCCTGGCAGTGCAGGACCCTCCAAGGCCAGACGGAAGGAGTCGAACCCTGGTCTCCCATATGCAAAGGTGGCAGGGTGGTGGTGGAGAGTTCTACCCCTGAGCCTGGGGCCTGTGACAGTCACACCCTGGGCTTCGCACATGACGACCTGGGGGCTGGATACAGCTGGGCCTCCTTGTTGTCTGGTAAAGGTTAGGGGATGGGTGACCGAACAGATCCTCAGCCCGGCCTTCAGCTGTTGACACATGGTCTGTTTCTGCTCGTCTACCGCTGTGGACCGGCACCCACCCCATGTTCTCCCCGGTCTCTGCTTCTGTCCCTCTCCCCCTGGACGAATGCTGCCCTTTTGGTCTGCAACGGTTGGTCGTTCTAACACGGGGGGAGGCTAGTTGCAGACCTGAAGAGTGGCTAGGACCAAAGTCTTGGGGTTGGGGGGTGTTTGTCCCACCAGTCCCTATCTGACCAGTTACAGTAAGCCTGGCTCTTTTATGAATTGGAGTTCTGTCCCACGGTTTGCTCCCATGCTACCAGCATCTTCTAATGTGATCCCTTTCAGAGCAGTGGGGAATGGTAGGCAGGCACCCCCCCCCACACACACACACACCTCACTGTCTTCAAGTTGAGGCTGGCTCTTAGTATCCCTCTAGCACAGGGTCTAACTGCCCCTTTGGGTTTCTGAGACTGTCACTCTTTACCGGAGCAAAAAGCCTCCTGGTCTTTCTCCCGCAGAACCGCTGATGGCTTCGAACTGCTAGTGTTGCAACTGTCAGCTCCCCAACCCGTAACCACTATGCCACCAGTGGCATCTAGTTCTTCTGGCCCCAGGCTCGTGGAGGCCGAGGTTTGCGTGGCCGTTAGTCCGCTGGACGAGTTTGGCCTGTTTTCTGTCAGGAGCCTGAGGACCGCAGCCAGGCCCGTTGCCAGTGCTTTGCCTGCCGCTCTCACGCCGATGGCAGAACCGAGTTCTTGCAACAGGGACCTTGCCTGGGCCCTCGACGCTGCGAGCATGCCCAGTATTTGCCCTCTGGCCCTTTCCAGAGCACACTGGCTCACCCCGGGAAGAACCACAGGGGGAATTTCGCAAGACACCTGACGAGTCGGAAGCACTTCTGGGATGTGAGGCCCAAGTTGATAGTTACAGCTTCCCAGGAGGTCCACGGGCTCCGGACAGGACAAAGCACTGCCCCGGCCAGGCTGGCCCTTGAGGCCAGTTACCATTGAGTTGATTCGTCTGGGCCAGACTGGGACTGTGCTCCAGGGGGTCTGCGAAGGCCAGGCCTTTCTTCCGAGGCCCCTGTGAGTGCACTCGAGCCTCCAGCGTTTGGGTGAGCACCCAAAGAACCCAGTCTCAGTCTCTGTTTTCAAGACCCAGTGGCCCCTCGAGGGATTGCTCCACAGACATTGGAAGAAATAGAGGGGCCGGATGTTGTCAGGGGGCTCTAGGTTGAGCCACTAGCAGCAAGGTCAGCTGTTCGAAATCACCAGCCACTCCTCGGGAGAAAGATGAGGCTTTCTGCTCCCGGAAAGAGTTACCGTCTCGGAAACCCACGGGGCAGTTCTTCCCTGTGAGTAGGAATCCACTGGCCAGATGTGGGGACCCGGTCCCTCCTGAAACCGGGGGAGGGGTGGGGTGGTACAGAGCCCCTCGAGTGCTCATGTATTCCTGGTGAAAGGCTCCACCTGGTGAGTGTTCCTGGCAGTTGCTGGGCGGATGCGCACCAGAAAGGGTGTGGGGGTGCTGGATGCCCCCCCTCACACCAGTGGTGGGAACACCACACACTGAGCTACTGCTGCCCAGAAGTCAGAAGTTGTAGTCTGCCTACAGGCACCTTGGAAGAAAGGCCTGGTCACCTGTCCTTGGACCGCCTCGTGAGCTCAGTTCTCAGCAGACGCGCCAGGTCGTTCTCACGCGGCGAGTTGGAGTGGGGGCGGGCCCTCCCAAGAAGGCAGGTCACCCATTTTGGGCGAGGAAGCCATCCATCTGCCCAGAACACGGGAGAACGATCGTGAGCCTCCGCTGGAATGGCTGTTGCTTTGTTTGGTGCTAAAGATTGGATGTGGGGTGGGGGTGGAGGGTTCCAACCCCAGGAGAGGCATGATCCTGGGTGCTCCTCCCTCCCCCAGGTCACGGGCCTCTGCAGTCGTTGCCCTTTAAGCCAGGGCCTGGGGGTGGCTTCGCACAAAGGGGTCACTGTGGAGCCCGCGGCGGGTCCCTG